GTTTCAGTTCTCTGAACAAGAGACGTTCAGAAACGTATCAGGTACATTTTTGAAAACTCCAGAACTATAGCCCACATCTGCTTCTACAAAAAAATAATTATCCGAAAAGCCATAGATATTGAAAAAAGCCAAATTATTTCAATAAAAGAAATGGCAGCATACGGTTACACCGCGCTATTCCCATGCTAACCCCTCCGCTAAGCTTCACCCAAACCACGTCACCACTGACGGTATAAATAAACTCTCCTCTCTTCCCAGTACCACTAATGCATTGATTAGTGATCAGTGTAGTAGTATCTGGGAGATTAGGAGACAGACCTCGGAAGCTCGTAACCAGACATCAGAGGATGTCGACAGCTCGAGAGAGTAAGGGAAACTGCACTATAATCCGTAGAATACGCTTAGAATCATTGACGATGATGTTATATATATATATATATATATATATATATATATATATATATATATATATATATATATATCTTCTTTGAGTTCTTATTTAAATTTTCTTATTTTAGTCTTAGATTGAAGACTAATCAAATTTTATATACTAAAACGCTAAGCCCTTTTCTTGTCCACCAATTTACTCAAAAACCATATTAGATAATTAAAATATTTTTTCGGAATATTATTAGTATTACGTATGAGATTGTCAAGATATACTTTTGGTACAAAAATTCACTTCCGGTTTTGAGATGACCGGAAGTTAAAATTTACTTTAAGTTTTAGACCCCACAATGTATATATGGATCGAAAGGTCTCGTCTAGACGAATCTAGATATGTACTTCCGGTTGCGATCCGACACCGGAAGTGACCCGAAACGCGCATAAAACGTCAAGATAGAGCAAATCTGACACCGGATTCGTGATCAGCATGCAAAATTAACTGCTAAATGATATCCATGTCATTGGGCATGGATATCATTTGGACATCACAACAAAAAACATTGTTTTCGACGAAATATTTAGTGATATTTAATACACTTTTTACTTGCATTATTATTGATAAATGTTATGTATATTCTTGCTTATATTGTTTGTATTGTTTTCTTAATTTTTTTCGCAAAATAAAAATTTCATTTAAAAAACTCGATGTCGAGTTGGTCCGCTAGTATTCCACTAAAAACATATATACGTTGATAATCGCCTTGTATACATTTATTAAAATACAATTATGCATATGTTCATGGCTATTCTAGAAAAACACTTCAGATAAACTATCGCGAATTCATGATCAATAGTGACGTTATTATCATTGTAACGCGTGCCTCAAAGATCAAAATCCTTATTTAATCTTTTGGTTTTTGTATTTTCTATAAGTGTTTTGGTGTTAAAGTGCGACAAATCATAAAAGTAGTGTTTTTTAGATTACTTATCAAGATATCATTTACTATAGTTCTATTAGCAACTACTATATCATATAATATAGGTATATTACTGATAAAATTAAGTGTATTAGTTGTTTAGTAAGGGACGGATATCAGTTTTGATATTATACTTTATTAAACAATTTGAAAATAGACTGTAGATGAATTAAATTATTTACACACTATTATTTGCAATGACATTTTATAATTATTGATTTCACCTCTAATGTGCATCAGTGCATAAATATGTAGGTTTAAAAGTGCAAAAACATTGCAAATCATTAAGCAAATAACGGGCTATTTCCAACTCATTGTAAATAATCCTAAACTTAAATCTCTCTGATAAGGTAATTTTTGAAAAAAGTCAATATTTTTTATTTATCTTAAGATAAAGAAAAATAACGATCAGAGGTATTTATTTTGATACTGTAAAAAAAGAATATCTTATAGTTACTAGAAATGAATAGAAAATAATTGTTCATCTTTTTTACTAGAACAATGTTTATATTCCATAGGTTCTGCTAAATTACTATTTATTTTAATTTCGTATTTTCCATATCGAAGTTTTCCAGTTGTCCGACTCTTTATGTATTACTTTTCTCTACATAATTCTTAGAATCTTTCGTAACTTTTGCTTCCATATTCTTGATATCCAATATGGCGACGATCGTATTCTTTACCTAGGTCACTCACTAACTCAAGAGTTGTAATATATTCTTCTCGTGCCATATCCTCATTAGACGTTTAGAAGATTATTCTGGCCCACATAAGTGTGTTACAACGGTTCTAAACAAGTTTAAGCATGTTTTACCAGTATAATGTTTTAGATTTTTCAGCAAAGTATCCAGAACGTAAGTTTTCTATGTTTTAATGTGCAGATCAGCTTTTGGTCTTGACCTATTTTTTGTAAAACATTTTCATTGGTAAATCAATACGTCCACGAGATACGCATCATCCTTCGATATCATTACATTTCGAATGTTATTTTCTGACTGCTTGTTTCTGCAAAGATTCATGCCTCTACTTCATATAGAAGAGTTGAGAATATATAACAGTTAAGCACTCGAAGTGTAACCATTATAGTAACCCTTTCATTACGAATTTCATTGTAGCTAAATAAAACTGTTTAAAATAACTTTATTGATATGCGTTGATACCAAGAGACCTAATTACCAACATTATTGCTTATCATTGTAACCTTAGAAAGGACATGGGAACATTAGCGTTGAATGGTGGGATAAATAAATCCGCTCAGTAAAGAAACAAACTTATATTCAAAATAAAAAAAAGTAAATTACACAAAAAAAATTCTTATGAATGATAAAAAAAAATCTTATGATGTAGTAGTGGCAGGCGGTTAGATATTCTTCCAGAACGGCCACTTATTTGTCGTTTTTACTATATTTATAATGACATATATAACGGATTTTGCAACAACAGTTGATCACCCTGTATACATTAAGTTAAAAAGTGTTAGTCTAGTTCGCAACAATTCAAATTAAATTTAATTGAAAGATCAAAGGCATATACATGTATTTCAGTTGCAAATGGATAGGATGATTGTTAAAGAGCCCATACTCAACGTAACTGGAGTATACACGCTCTCCTACACGAACCTCCTCTTTCCATTCTTAAATTTGTTGTTAAACTTTCTTCTACGTTTATTTACATAGTTGCATTGTCGTATATAATGTATTTTGGGATTATTTTATATATGGAATTAATCCTTGTGTTATTCATTCTCTTACGGCCCTTTACGGCTTATTGAATGTCTTATTGTAATCCACAAATGTCACATAATCGTTCATTATGTTTGTTATACTATTCTATAAGTGTCCGTATTTTCTGCATGTGTTCTATGGCAATATAACAAGCGAAATATTAGTATTATGAAAATTATTTTGCTAAGCAGTTTATACGGATGTGGTAACAGCCTTATTGGTATGAAGTTTTCGAGTTTTTGTTAGTCTCATTTCTTGTTCAGTAAAAGTATATGTGCGTTTTGCCAAGAGATCGGAATAGCACTCCAAAGTAGCACTTGCTAATTAAAATTTTAACTGCCTTCAAAGTAGTTTGACATCCAGTTAAAATCATCTTTTTTGTTATTCCACCGTCTCATTTCCGTCTTTAAGAACTTTTTCATTTTTCATGTTTTAAGGAATTTTTATATTCCTCGTTAGTAATTTCTGATAGTGTTGCAATGGTGCATTAAAAAAAACTTAATTTACTAAATTATAATACAAATTGAAAATATCTTTGATGTTAGTCATATTATTAATCGAAATTTAGATCTTTTTTTATGTAAATTATCTCCAATATACATCTTTTTTTGTAATTTTGTTGATTTTTCAAAATCTGTACATTTTCGAAATCAAAGGAATGGCCATTTTCTATAGAATGTTTGGTTCATGCTGTTGTGTTTAATCTGTTGGTATGTAAACATGTGTGTTGATATGTTTGTGTGTAACAACCCTTCTATGCAGGTATTGGTGTGTTTACACACATTTAATTGATGTTCTATATTAAAATTGGGTTTAAATTTTGAAAAATATTTTCCAGATGTTTTTGATAATTTATGTCCAACAATAATAAAATATTTTTCTAACATTTTTGCAATTTGTTCAGAAAATCCATTAATGTATGGTTAGGATATATAGCGTTCGTTTGATTTAGTGGCATCAGATTTAGCCATATGTCTCACACTCCCTCTATAATAAGGGGAACATTCAGTTATCCTAGATACCTACGGTATCAAAAGAATCGAACTGTAGTGGGACTCTTTCCGTGTTATCGAGCCCTAGATGACTTGATATGCTGGAGTATCTCCCAAAAATTTTCGCACTCATCTGGACGTTGAGAGCAGTACAGCTTTCTGAATGATCTTGTAGAGATGTTCATTCAGACCTAGTTTTTTTATGTTTTCTAGGAGGTTCTTCGGAATGACTCCAGTGGTAGAAAGAATAATAAGTATTGTCTGGGTACTTTCCATTCTCCACTGTCTTTGTATTTGAATTTCCCAATCCCTGTACTTAACGATCTTTTCGTTCTGTTTAACACGAAAATCATTGTTGTTGGGTATCGCCACATCAATTAGTGATATTTGTCTCTTTACTTTATTAACTAGTACGAGATTTGGTCTATTATGTGCCACTGTTTGGTCTGTGAGCACAGTGCGGTCCCAGTATAGCTTGTAGTTATCATTCTCAAGTATACTTTCAGGAACGTATTGATAATGTGATAATGGTTTGTTAGGAAAAGTCTCAGTTTGATGGCTATTTCTTGATGAAGGATTTTTCCTACTGAGTCGAGCCGTTCCTTATATTCAGTTGCAGAAAATGCCTGGCAGCCCCCGGTAAGATGTTGGATAGTTTCTTGAGCTTGACATCCATATCGGCATTTGTCATTTTGGACCTGAGGGTATTTGACGATATATTTCAGGTAATTTTTGGTTGGCATTACCTGATGCTCATCTCGAATTTTAAATTATTTAGAATTTAAATAATTCACAAAAAACTGTCTTTCTACCGATATAAAAGTATTTCCCAGTTTTATTATAGAAATAAGTATGTATCAGAATATTTCTGAATATTCAGAAAAGTATTTTATTATAGAAGGAATAGTGTTATGTGAATCATGCAGCTTGTGGTATTGTTTAGCGCGTTGAGCGTAACTATTTTCAGTGTAAGAGGACAGAAAAACAATCACTTTGCTGAAGGAAGAAACACGATCGTACACCTCTTTGAATGGCACTGGGATGCTATTGCCAGTGAATGTGAGAACTTCTTGGGTCCTAAAGGATTTGCTGGTGTTCAGGTAGTGTAATTTTTTTTCAAACAACAGCCGCATGTTTCTTTTACAGCTGTAAGTGATAAATTTAAGAAAGTAACAAAAATAAATAATAATACCCTTACTTAACTTAGTTTCTATTATTTAACTAACATCACTGAAATAATACTTAGGATTATATTACTAGATAAACCGAATACTATACACAATATTCTAATGAAAATGACTCAGTAATATTAGTTTTTTTCATCATATTTATACCATTTCCTTTTAAATATTTTTCTCATCAAACTGATTTTCAACTATAATAATTTGAAAATTATTGAGAACATGGTTTTTGTGATTAAAATTTTGCAGTAATTTATTAACCCTGCAGTAGACGCGTCTAATTTGATAACTTTAGTAGACGCACCCGGACTGAGAGTCCGATAACAAAAAACTACTCCTGCTAGTTGTAAAATTGTTTTCTATTACTAAAGTGATAAAAAAAACTGGCTTATTGCTAACTGAATTTATATCATTATCATCGTGTAAAGAAGATTTGAGCAAAACGTTCTTATTTTTTTTTTCGGTATATAAGATACCAATGTACAGACTGGTCTAAACGCAAACATACTAGATCCAACTGGTCTCTTACCTTGTATGAACTTTTTGGGTAATTCCGATTTATTTTTGCGTATCGTCCCTAAAAAAGTAAGCTTATCTGACTTAAGACTTAAAGCAAGATGTAAACTGGTAAACCAGTTGTCAGTTGTTACATTTCGGTTGGATCCATACTTATATCCGTTTACACAAATGTTCTACTATAGATTTGGCAGTATTATCTGTTTTGTATGGACCATCCGGTTGAGTGCTTACGTAAACTTTCATATTACTCGTGTAGAATATTTTGGCATTACATAGTGCAAAAATTTTGATACCATACGTATTTGGTTTAGACGGTATGTACTGTCGAAATGTGTCTATTGCGATCATAGACATAATAATAATAATAGACAAGGCATAGTAAACAAAATAGTGTGACGCGGAGCACTCGATCGGTAGTATATCTATTTCTCCCTAACAACTTGCGCATTACTTCGCTGTACTCTGTTCATAGATATAATGGTCCAGGAGATATCGTTTTGTTTTCGGAATTGTATATACAATAAATTTTATTTGTAGCAGTTAAATAGTGTTGATATAGATGCAGTCACGCATTCTACAAGAGACGTGAGAGCGCTCGAGGAGGAAACAGGTAGTCTGGGTCTCCGAATTAATAAAGAAAAGACGAAATACATGTTAGTAATCAAAAATCCAAGACCAAGAGTTAGGTAGAACATGATGATTACAATGATCACAACTTCGAAGTAGTAAAGGAGTTTATACCTCCTAAATATACCTAAAATAACATGTAATCTTAACCAGCGGGAAATCAATAAGCTTCTAGTATTTGAAAGAAAGGTTCTCAGAATAATATTTGGCCCCCAAAGAGATGAATTCATAGGAAATTGGAGAAGGAGCCGCAATGCTGAATTGGTGACTGTATGGAACTGAAAACATAGTTAGACATATCAAGGCAAACCAAATAAAATGGGCAGGTCACGTGGAAAAAGATGGAAGGATGATGTTGAAGCCGATTTATCTAGAATTCATCATCATTGGCTTTTACAACTCTTCGTGAGTTTTTGCCGCGTTTACTATTGCCTTCCATAGATTCCAATCCTGTGCTATTATTTCCCATTGCCTTACTTCCATCTTCTCCAGGTCTTCCCTGACTGCATCTTTCCACCTTTTTCTAGGCCTTCCTGTCGATCTTCTAGAATTGGGGTACAACAATGGGAAATAGAAGCGCAAGATTGTAGAGGATGGAGGGCGATAGCGGACGCGGCGAAGACTCACCCCGAGTAGCTAAGCCAGTGAAGAAAAAGAAGAAGTTAAATAGTGTTCGATAATCAGTAAAATGTCCGTCAGCCCCCGCACCTGCGGCAAAGTGAGAGGTGACAGCATCCGAAAGACGTATAAAAATTTTTTGTCTTAATAGTAAAGTCGCGATTTCATTTGACCTTGTATGGTGGGCGCTACCCCAAACCACAAATTTTATTATTCTAACCTTTAGGGAGGATTAATGATAGTCTAAATTTAAAATTACTGAATTCCGCGTTGCGTTAGCCGCCATCTAAAGGTTAAAGGAGAACTGTTTTCTTCGTCACTTTCAACTTTTCGACTACTAAAATCGTGGCAACAGCAATTTACTACGGTCTCTTATTTACAAATTTTTTCGTACTGTCAATATTTTTCGAGTTAGGCTAGAAGTTTGCAAATTTCCAACTGGTAAAGGTAGTCGTTTGATGATCACTTATATTAAAGAAGATAAAGAATTAACTCTTTTGCACATTTAATTGCAAATTTAATCCGTCAATTTTATTTATAAATATCTTATTATAATAGCACATGTCTATTTAGCATGGTATCTCCTACGGTAGGAAGTAAGGAGAGAGTTTCTAGTACCACACGTGTTCGGGCATGAACTAAAACATTTGGCGGCAAATTGATTTACTAAAATAATTTGCTACTAAAAACTCATTTATAAGCAACACAAAATGAATATGGCTACAAAATAACAAATGAAAACTAATTTGTTACAGCCAATATTAATTGTAACTTAAAAGTAAGATGTTATTAACAGACAGTTTATCAACAAAGTAAATGTTTATTTTTAAAATGTTTAAAATTTTAGACAATAACTTTGTCAAATATTCTCAAGCTTAGTAAATTGAATATACATAAGTAAATTGTACCTTCAAAAAATTCAAAACGAGTCGTCAACCCCATTTCAAATACATAGAGGGTTAAGGCATGGGGGATGCGCTGGCGTGTCAGCTTTTTAATGTCGCCTTAGAAAAAGTTGTACGAGAGGCTAATTTAGATAGCAGGAGAGCAATATTTAATAGATTAGTCCAAATTCTAGCATATGCAGACGATGTGGACATTATAACAAAAACTAGGGCGAGAACTGCGGAAATCCTAACCGAGTTAGTAGCAGCAGCAGAACGAATGGGGTTACATATAAATCAAAATAAAACCAAATTCATGGCGACTAACACAAACACAAAGGCTGGAAATGTTGACACAAATTTAATCATCAATGACCACAACTTCGAAGCAGTCAAAGAGTTCATATATCTAGGGACATCGGTTAACCCCAATAATAACACATCTGAGGAAATAAAAAGGCGAATAATAATTGCAAACAGATGTTATCATGGTCTATCAAAGTACTTAGCTAACAAACGTCTGTCTCAAAAAACTCGTATAAGGCTGTATAGAACACTGATAGTCCCCGTTCTCACATATGGATCAGAGGCATGGACGCTAACGATAACAGATGAATCCGGTCTATCCATTTTTGAAAGAAAGGTGCTACGCAAGATATTCGGAGCGGTCTGTGAGAACAGAATATAGAGGCGTAGATATAACTTTGAACTGCAGAATATCTACACGCATACGTTTGGTGGTATTACCACCAAACCACTATAATTAAGCGAAAGATATTTCCACTATAATTAAGCGAAACCGCTTGCAGTGGGCAGGACATGAAGCCCGGGCCCCTGAATCAAACATGATAAAAAATATTCTAACAGCGCAACCCGTGGGAATGAGAAGACGGGGTACACCAAAGCTGAGGTGGACTGATGGGGTAACAAAAGATGCGGAGAAGATTGGAGTCGGCAACTGGAAAATGCAAGCAAGGGACAGAACAGAATGGCGTAGAAAGCTTGAGAAGGTCGAGGCCCTCTAAGGACTGTAGCACCAAGATGATGATGATGAAATTGTACCTGCTGTAATGGGACCAAAATGGCCAAGTTACACATCTCTCTGTCCCTCTTTCCCTTTCTTTCTCTTTCTTTCACCAATAATCCCCGTTGGGAGAGTAGTGGTCGTCGTGATGTCGTGTGTGGCCTGTCCCCAAAGATCTCTATCCCTGGCTATTTGTTTTAATTCACGCATTGGTCTTTTGCATATTCCTGTAATTTGATCGATCTTCGGCCTTTTATTTTTTCTTGGATAATGAGTCTCTTTATGTTTTCTGTGTCTGATCCTGTTCAAACATGTGTAACATGTTCAAAGTATTTTAATTGTTGAAGATGGACTTTGCTGGAGACTCGTTTACTGATCTTTAGTTCTTAGGGTTGATGATGATCTTAAAATTGAATTATTAGTCCTATGGTCGTTCCACGGAATTCGTTCTCTAACAGAACATTCTAATGACGTCTATCTTATTTCTCTCCAATTGTTTCACAGCTGAGTGAGTAGTAGATCAACCTCAGTTTTGGAGTCGTGAAATGTGAAATTTCTTCCAATATTTTGGCCATATTTCCTTCGGCGATTGTGGCTAGATCACATCTACGTTTTATTTTCTCCTTTAGTAACCGTATATTTGCGATCAATGATTATATGGATAGAAGTATGAGTTCACAACATCAAACTGGTTAATTGTGATTATATGTTATGCCGTCTATCTACTATCTATCATGATTTTTCTCTTTTGTATGTTTAACGATTGACAGTGATTGATCAATTGACAGAGGCAGTCTCCATAGATAGAGAAGTGAGGCAAGCATGCATTCTGTCGTCGGTGTTATTTAATATATACTCTGAATATATCTTCGAGCAAGCGCTGGGAGAACTACAAGAAGGCGTATTAGTCAACGGAATGCGTCTAAACAACATTAGATATGCCGACGACGCAGTAGTTTTTGCAGATAGTCTGGACGGTTTGCAAAGAATAATGTCGCATATAGCACATATAAGTAGAGAACACGGACTTGATCTTAATACGAAGAAAACAAAGTACATGGTAGTCAGTAAGCGCAAAATATTAAATACACAGCTTTTGGTTAACCAACATCCAATTGACAGAGTGGACAGCTACACATACCTTGGTACCAACATTAACAGCCAATGCGATCACTCCAGTGAAATAAAACAACGCATAGGAAAAGCGAGATCAGCGTTCATAATGATAAAGTCTCTTTTCAGAAGTT